GGTGCGAGCCAAGATTTTGTTGGGTAACAAAGGTATTATTTTTAAAAAACCGAGTTTCAGCTGCCTGTTATATATACTAAATGCTTCTGCTTAGGAAACAAATTTAGAATAACTCTTTGTGGCTGTGTGGAGCCTGGAGCCAACAGTGCCTGAAGTCCACCTGCCAGAGTCAGGCACACATAGGGCATTCTAACCAGGCTCACTCTGTCTCAGACTCAGGTCTTAAATGAGACCTCTTCTGCCTTGAGTCTCAGCCTTCATAGAGGAAAACATGCCCCACACTCACAGTCCATAGAGTGAAATACAAAGTGTGACAAACTGGAGACAGAAATATTTTCACTTGCTTAAAATGCCGTCCCACTTGGGATCCTGATTAAAGCAATGCAGCCAGCATCGCCCGCTGTCGACGGCCACAGGACCCACATTACCTCCGAGAGTTTGACACACATCTGCTCCTCCCAGCCTTCCTCTGGCGGAGACTCCGGAAGGAACACCCAGTCTGCACCGCAGGCCAAGGCACTCACCAGGGCCAGGTACCTATGTGGACAAGGCAACAGCATCAACACCCCAGACGGATCCTTCCCATGAGGGTACCCCAGGCACCCCACTCAGTGACAGATGGGCAGATCTAATGCCAGGTATGAAGCGGGACACCGGCCCCTCCAGGACTCTCTGCGAGAGCATTCTGGATGTGGGGTATAGCCTAAGGGAGATGACGCTAAGGGTCCCCAACCCGAACCGCGTTCACTGGACCCACCGCAGGTACATACCCACAGTGTCGTCCCATCACCTCCAGAACGAAGGTCCTCTGGTGGCTGGAAGAAAAACAGAGGGAGCCCCGGACACAGCTCAGAAAGCAGAGAAACACAGGGAGCACCCACTCAGCCCTGGACACAGCTCAGACAGCAGAGAGAAGGGGCTCTGACAGCCGAGTTAGCCAGGAGGCCTGCAAGGACCTAGGCTTCAAAAATGGTTCATTTTCTACTAAGGCAAACGCTATGCAGGAGCCTTCCAGACTCCTGCGAGGAAAGTGACTTGAGCCACCTCTGCGCTCTCCAGTTGCACATTTGGCACCTCGCCTGCCTGCGCCCAGGACACACTCACACTCCCAGGCCCCGTGCTGGGCTCTTTCCCAGATACCTTCTCTATTGGGCACAGTCGGTGGCTGCTGTCAAGAGCCACGGCTGGATCTCTCCCAGGGAAACAAGTGCGTGCCAGTGTCACTAAGTGGTTAACGCCCAGAGACTGGGTCTTCCCAGGGAATGGAAAAATCCAACTGCTCCGAGCAGCCTTCCAACTTAGTGATTTTCCACCAACTGTGGGGTTCACGCCCACGCACTGAGAATGTCCAGTGAAGGCGTCACTGGGAACAGGACACACAGAGGACTGGGAGGCGCCACACCGGGGACTGGATTCGGCACTGTCTCAGTCTCAAGCACCTCGTGCTTAAAGGGGAGACACTTATTCTATTTACCATTTCACATGGTTTTCATGCAAATTGCTTCAGAAATTGTAGGGTGCCCCACAGAGTCATTAGTGATAATCCGCCGAGTCTAGAGCACCTCGGATCAAATGCTGTGGCCCCACCACACTTTGTGAATCCATAGATTACACAGGGCAGGACATCGCTGGCCGCATCTCTCATGAGTGGTGTGGAAAATCCATACCATAGTTTACTTCTTGCCACTCCTTCCGGAGATGTTTGGATAGGACATTCAGATAATTATTATTTTGTTTCTTCCTTTCAAATTCTAATCCACAGCTTTCTTTTATCATCGGGTTAAAAACAAGGAATGTTTTAAAATTAAAAATGGAAAGCAGACCAGAGAACAATTTTCTGGCAATAGTTCCTAAAAGTCAAGTTACGAGCCAGCACCAGGACACCCAATCTGCAGAATGTTCTAGAGCCCGTGGTAACATCTGAGCTGGGCACACGTCGGGCCCCACGTGGCCTCCCGCCGGTTCCTCTGAGTGCTTTACCTCTGGGCCGTGGTCATGATGGCGTCAATGACCTCGATGATCCTATGCAGGGCGGAGTCAGTGCCGATGGTCATGTCGGTGCCACAGAAATCATTGTCAATGGAGCCCACCATGCCCACCACGTTGAGGTAGGCGTACTTCTGCACGGCCTCCTTATCGATCTGGCCTGCGTGGGGAGCAAACAGCAACACAACCACCCTAAACAAACACTCTAAACTCTTTGATTTGTTACTGGTATCATTTATGTATTATCATTTTTTTGAGACAGGGTCTCACTCTGTTGACCAGGCTGGAGTGCAGTGGCACCATCATAGCTCGCTGCAGCCTTGAACTCCTGGGCTCAGGCGATCCTCCTGCCTCAGTCTCCTGAGAAGTTAGAACTATGCCTGGCTGATTTCTTAATTTTTTGGTAGAGCCAGACTCTATGTTGCCCAGGCTGGTCTTAAATTCCTGGGCTCAAGAGACCGTCCTGCCTTGGCCTCCCAAAGGGCTGGGATTATAGGTGTGAGCCACTGCCCGGGTCAATTCTTTATTTCCTCAGAACTCAATGCAACCGGATTCTGCATAGTTAAGGAAAGAGAAGCCAGACAAAGCTGGCAGCAGTTACACACAATGGGCACTGTCACCTGGCACTTAGACAAGAGCAGTGGATTCGAAAAATAAAGGAAAGGATCCACATTGCAATTGGTAAACAAAAATCTCAGTATTTCCTGGCAACAGCTTCCGAGAATGACACGGCTTTGAACACGGATATGTTACAATTACGGAATTGAGAATCTAAGGCACTAGGCCATCTTCACACTGATTTCTCACGCATCTGTGGGAAGCTGGATCGTGGGTGGGCATCTACCGTGCACTCAGGACAGACCTGGGCTACGCAGCTCTGCATAAAGGGAGTCGGGACCATCGAAGGGCCAGGGGCAAGCTTAGGCCCGGACTCGTGGCCGCTGTCCTGCTCTGTACACTCAGTGGGCTGTGCCAGACCAGGACGACGTGGACAAGCAAGAACTGTGAGGCCTGGCTGCGTCCGGCGGGCAGCGTTCTCCATCCCCTATAAGGATGTTCACGAGCCTGGAGACAGCTGCTTTGCCTCAAAGCCGCCTCTCATCAAGTTGCTATTAAACAATATGCTTCCCTGGTCATATTTAATATTGCATTGAAATTACATAACAACTGCTTCAAGGGAGAAAAACTCCACTTTGGGAGGCCGAGGTGGGTGGATGACCTGTGGTCAGGAGTTCGAGACCAGCCTGGCCAACACGATGGAACCCCGTCTCTACCAAAAATACCAAAAAAAGTTAGCCGGGTGTGGTGGTGCATGTCTGTGATCCTGGCTACTCAGGAGGAAGAGAAAGAGGCAGAAGAATCGCTTGAACCCAGAAGGCAGAGGCTGCAGTGAGCCAAAATCGCATCACTGCACTCCAGCCTGGGCAAGGCAGACAGACTCCGTCTCCAAACAAGCAAACCAAAAAACCTACATACACACAGGACTCTCAGAAACGCTTTCCTAAGTAGTGTCAAAGGTGGTACCAGATGACGTATTGGCAGAAATGTATCTAAATAAATAAAGTCTTGTGAGAACTTCAGTTCTAAGGGACCCCAGCGAGCTGGAGAGATACAGTGTGAGGGCTGAAAGGCGGACGCTGGTGTCCCAGGCTGCTGGGGACCTGGCCCACCCCACAGCCGAGTGGCTGTTTGATTCCTCATCTGTAAATGGGAAGATCTAAAAACTGGCTTGGATGGCTGTCGTGAGGATTCCATAAAACTATCTGTGTCAAAGGTCAAAGGGTGCCTGGCACATGGTAAGGTTAAATTACTAGCATTCTTATGATTGCTGCTGTTGTGTTTTGAGATCATAAAAAGTCCTGAGATGGTGACTGGAAGATCTGTGAGAACAGGTGCTTCCGCTGCAGTGAAGAGGGAAACGTGTCCGTTCCAAAGCTCTGAAACAGGACAAAAACCCGCAGGACACAGGAGCAGGCGTCCACTCACCATTCCTGGCCAGCTCCTCCAGCAGCCCGCTCCACTCCTTCCGGAAGAGGTTGGCCCCGGTGAGGCTCCCGTCCCCGCCGATCACACACAGGTTGGTGATGCCGCGCTGCAGCAGGTTGCAGGCGGCCTTCAGGCGGCCTTCCCGCGTGCGGAAGGCCTGGCACCGCGCACTGCCAATGATCGTCCCGCCCTGGGAAAGACGACACCAGCTTACTCATCTCCTCACAGCATGACAGAAAGCCAGGTGGATGGCGCACACAGGCTGACTATAAACAGGGGCTGGAATTCACGTTTTTCTCATTTTCACCTTGTCAGTAACTAGCTATGAAAGACTATGATTTTCCTGTTTTTAGTCCCAGACCAGCATTCCACAAAGACAGGCGCATCACACCAGGAGGAGCCAGGGAGGGGAGGAGCCAGGGAGGGGAGGAGCCAGACACACAGCAGCCATCAGTTAAATACATGGAGCAGGAACCAGCCTGTGGGGTCACAGCAGCCGCCCCAGCACCGGCCAGTGAGCTCAACCAGATGCATGTGGAACCAAAGACGAACCCACTGACCACCAAGCACGCCGGCCAGGACAAGGGAAGTGGCGTGACCAGTGGCCAGGCTCTCCCTCCAGTCTCCCCTTACAGCACCTACAGGTAAAACCAGCAGGAACCTGGGGCCAAGGGGATTTTTTTTTTGCACCACATACCCACTGCCCCTTTTAAAGAGCTACGTGTTCAGGAACTTAAATTATTTCATCAAGACTTCCAGGGTACATAGACCATGATTCATCACACTTGGTTTTCCAAAAACTAAGAATTGATGGGATCGACAAATGCAGGATTCATTTAAATAAAATCATGAATGCACCAACAAACTCCAGTCCAGACTGGATCCCTAGACGCATGCTGACTTCGTCAAGCAAGGTGCTCATAAGCGCAGCAGGGGTTGTCTCCGCGCTGGAGGCAAGGGCTCTCCCTGACTTCGGTCTGCAGGCAGCTCCCAGGAAACCCCTGCATTGATGTGACTGCCTGCTTCTTCCTTTTTTTTTTTTTCTTGAGACAGAGTCTCACTCTGTCACCCAGGCTGGAGTGCAGTGGCGCAGTCTTGGCTCACTGCAAGCTCCGCTCCTGGGTTCACGCCATTCTCCTGCCTCGGCTTCCCTGGTAGCTGGGATTACAGGCACCCGCCACCACGCCTGTTTGTTTTTGTTTTTTGTTTTTTTGTATTTTTAGTAGAGACGGGGTTTCACCTTGTTAGCCAGGATGGTCTCCATCTCCTGACCTCGTGATCCGCCCACCTCAGCCTCCCAAAGTGCTGGGATTACAGGCGTGAGCCACCGCGCCTGGCCTATGAGTGTGTGTTTCAATACACCAATGGTACATGCACACAACTCCTTTTCACATATGGAGACTTATTACTATTCCAAATCCCAGAAAAGTTTATATTTTTACATGAAACCTACCATCATTTAATTTGTCAAAGCATTATGAAAAGGTCATAAAAACTGAAATTCACTCCACACGATCCTGTGTCACCAGCACCAAGTGTGACCGAGACCACTTACAACCCGGTCCCCAAGGCAGGTGAGGGTAGGGGCGCAGAGCAGGGCAGGGGTGCTCTCCAGACTCTGCCCAGACAAAAAGCCAGGGGGCAGCATGAGAGCCGGCACAATGGGAGGTACAGTCAGCAACCCAGAAACTCCCACCAAAAAGACAAAAGAGGTGGCTGCAACTTGGGAACGAAACCAGGATAACTGGACTGCAGAGGAGTGGGTGCCATTCCCATTCCCTCGCTCACTCGCACACACACACACACACCACACACACCTACACATACACACACACCCCCCCCACAGGCACGCCACACACAGACACACCACACACACACACAGACACCACACACACCTCCACATACAAGGAAACCACATATACACACATCCCACACACAGATACACACTCACTAGCCACAAACTCACACAGTTAACACATACACACGGGCAAACCACACATACTCAGACTCACACACCTACATACAGACACACACCAAACTCAGTTACATACACACTGAGATTCACACACCACATATACCCCATGCAGAAACACAAACTCACTGATACACACACACACTTCAGCCCTCTGTTCACGTCTTTCTACGTCAATCACGACCACAGAATGGAAACGCTCCCCTGTGTGAATTCAGCCCACAACGTCCTGATGTTTTGCAAATGTTGCTCCACCTAACTTCCGTGATTGTCAAAATTCCCTCCACCTCCCTTCCGATATGGCAGAAATCAGGAGGCGCCCAGCGCAGAGAGAGCCTGAGACCAGCAGGAAGGTGTGGGCCCCACAAGTGTCTTCAGCGGGGAGGCACCGATTTGGATTATTTCTATTAGCAAATACTCAAAGTGAGTCACAGATTAACACATGCATTTCTAAAGATCAAACCAAAAGTAAAGAGCTTCTCACAGTCTGTTCTGTCCACATAATCTCTATCAACTGATCTGAGCTCAAGTGTTCTGGGAATTTACTACACATGAAAGAGTCTCCAACTCAGAGAACCCTGTGGACAGCAGCCCAGTACGCACCACTTGCAGGATGCTGGAGACGCTCTCCCAGTCGGCCTCCGCGATGTTCGCGCCTCCGTCCACCATGCCCTGGTAGCCCTAAGGGGAGAAAGGGAGAATCTTTTAAAACTGAGATAAACTTCACTAAATGGGAAGTGATCCTTAAACTATATAAAATGGGAAAAATAACAGTGAATGTTAGATCCTGAGCGTCCGCTGGTCAGAGGACAGGGCAGTTCCAGCGCTGGAGGAAAGCAGGGAATTGTGGGAAGGCCCTCACACCGAGTCCCTAGTAATGGGAACTTCTGCCCCAGCGGCTGGTGAACGGCAGGGAATTGTGGGAAGGGCCCTCACACCGAGTCCCTAGTAATGGGAACTCTTGCCCACCTGGGATGAAAGCAGGGAATTGTGGGAAAGCCTCACACCGAGTCCCTAGTATGGGACTTTTGCCCAGCGCTGGAGGAAAGCAGGGAATTGTGGGAAGGCCCTCACACCGAGTCCCTAGTAATGGGAACTTCTGGCCCCAGAGGCTGAGGAAGCAGGGAATTGTGGGAGCCCTCACACCGAGTCCCTAGTTAATGGGAACTTCTGGGCCCCAGCCGCTGGAGGTAAAGGCAGGGAAGTTGTGGGAAGGCCCTCACATCGGTCCCTAGTAATGGGAACTTCTGCCCCAGCGCTGGAGTGAAGCAGGGAATTGTGGGGAAGTCCTCACACCGAGTCCCTAGTAATGGGAACTTCTGCCCCAGCGCTGGAGTGAAGCGAGGGAATGTGGGAAAGCCTCACACCGAGGTCCTAGTAATGGGAACTTCTGCCCCAGCGCTGGAGGAAAGCAGGGAATTGTGGGAAGGCCCTCACACCGAGTCCCTAGTAATGGGAACTTCTGCCCCAACGCTGGATGAAAGCCGGGAATTGTGGGAAAGTCCTCACACCGAGTCCCTAGTAATGGGAACTTCTGCCTAGACTCAGCCTGCGAGTGCAACGAGGAATCAAGCCATTCTCCTATGGCCCAGTGTTTCCCGAGAGGTTGAAAGGGGTCACGTTCACCCAACGTGTTTATCATACTTCAGCACAAACTCACAGACACACAGTGTTGTCGACCACAGGACATACAAGGGAGCATTTTGTCAGGGGCTCCGTCTGCCAAGGCAACCTGGGCCACTTGAGATATATATTAAATATTATTAAACAGCACAGCCGAATAATAATTGTCTGCCTTACCCTCCATTAATGACACTGCACTGCATTAGGGAATCAGATATCAACATGTGAGGACATATTGATAGAAGAAGCCCAAGGACAATTACCTTTCAATGCTAAATGCATCCCCATCTTTTTCTCCACAGAATCTACAAGATTAGGAAATGCAGCAATGCCCATTGGTACCTTCATCTATGTAACTCGCTTTCCACAGGATTTAACCTTAAGAAGGAATAACTATTAGGGATTTAGAAAAGTTCACAATAGATTATTGTTGGATTCATAAGCTCTCCTTAGTGAGGGTCAGGAGGACAGAAAAAAGGAAGAAAGGTTTTTAAAAAGGAAATGATTCATAGATTACGGAGTTCTGTATATAAATTAATCAATGGTGCAGGCACCTTGATAGCTGGCCAATTTGTATACTTATATTTATAAATGTAAATTTCCATCAGAAACATTATATATACATATATGTTTATTTTATTTTGAGAAAGAGTCTTGCTCTGTCGCCCAGGCTGCAGTGCAGTGGTGCAATCTTGGCTCACTGCAACCTACATCTCCCGGGTTCAAGTGATTCTCCTACCTCAGCCTCCGGAGTAGCTGGGATTATAGGCACACACTACCACATCTGGCTTTTTTTTTTTTTTTTTCCCCAGTAGAGACAGGGTTTCACCATGTTGGCCAGGCTGGTTTCCAACTCCTGACCTCAAGTGATCTGCCTGCCTGGGCCTCCTGAAGTGCTGGGATTACAGGTGTGAGCCACCACGCCTGGCCACGTGTGTGTTTATAATTTAGTGTCATACATGTAATAAACAAGAAAGGAGAAAACAGTCTGGAATGGAACAGAACCCAAAGCAGGGCTGCTTCATTTCAGCGATGGCAGCCCCGTCTGCACCTCCTGAGACCCCCCCAGGCACCCAGCCACTGGCTCACAGGCTGGTATAGGCACTGCTCATCACCAGGCCCCTACCTCCATGGCAAAGCAGTGAAACATCTTCTAAACATAGCCCAGTCTCACTCGAGGGATTATTATTATTATTGTCTCCCCTTGCTCTGAAAACAGATTTCCCTTGCAGTGCAGATGAGCCCAGTGTAGCTGTCCCCCTGGAGGGTGAGGGTGAGCAAGTGTGAGGTCGGACATAGGCCTCCCCTCTGCACAGGGCACCCTGAGAGGCACCGTTTGTTCTGTCCTGCTGCGGGTGCTGTAGTCCACACAAAGACGCACCAGGCACAGACGGCCGCATGCAAAGCCGCGAGTGACTCCTGGAGGCCATATTCCTTAGAATATTTGAAGTACAATAGGTAGGAGGGTGGGTGGGTGGATACATAAATAAAGAGATTACGTAGCCTTGGGGTTGCATTTTTAGTGATCTCTACCACCCCAAACTCCCAGGTTTCTGCTAAGAATTATGCTTCATGCTGCGCGCACAACAGAGCACCCCGTTCTTCAGGTCTGGGAGCAACGCTGAACAAACTGCGTCTGTGGTGATCTTGACTTTCCAGATTCACTTCCATGAAGCTTGTGGGGCAAGGAAACAAGGAAGCAGGCATGTGACCTGGGCCGAAGAGTCAGAGCCTGCACCACCATGCTGAAACGGACCCTTCTTAGAGGGACGACGTCCCATCCTCCAAGCCTACATCTCAGGAGGAGAGAAAAGATGACCCATGATGAGGCCTGAACCACAGCAGAAACCAGGACCTCCCTGGGTGGACCGGGATGTAGAGTGGCCATAACCCTGGGGCTCTGGCAAAACTGAAAATGGACAGCTCTAAATTCCCACACCCAGAGCTGCTGCGGTCATTTCTGTGCATGCAGTTTTCTGGTAAATAAAGAGACTGAGGGGAAGGCGCCAGTCCCGGCCGCTGCCCTGCTAAAAGGATGCCACCAAGGCTGCTGCAGCATCCTGAGGCCATCTCAGGCCCAGGAGTCAACCGTGCACCCCTCACGGCATCAGCTTTCAGAGTATTCCTGGAGCACGTGCTATCCCAGACGCTGCTTCCAAGTCGACCGCCACCCGGCACTTTACTACTTAATATGCCATAGTGGGAACCAAACAATTGCCTTTCCCTGCATGAGTTTGCAGAATTTAAATACGGATTTAATCAAACATGGTAACGAATCCCCTAGCCTCTAGAGTAATAAGAAAACTGCTCTGCAAACCACAACATTTTGAAAAGTAAAACGTTCTCTAAAAATAATTTCATTATTTTATGTTGTATAGATGCATATGGCAAAGAGAACAATTAAAAAATTAAAAGGGAGGACTTTGAGTGCCGCCCCCAAAGCTGCCTGTCTAGTGCATGCGTCAGCTAAGTTGCTAGGAAATGACTCATTCTTTAATTTGCAAAGTCACGATTCCCATGGAACATGTGAAAAGTAACCACCAACCACAGTTCTAAGCTGTCTTTCACCAGCAAGGAAGATATTACTAAATTAGGAAGACTCATTTTGCCCAAACGTACTACAACGTAGAAATTCAGATGAGTTTTCTCTTTTGAAGTCTTCTTAGAAGGCTGAATATTTATCTTACTACAGCCAAAGCCCAAATGTTTCCTAAAACACCCTTTTGGAATTTGCCTTCCAAGCCAGTTTTATGACTCACATAGGAAAAACAGAGCATAAAACCTTTAACCTTATCTCAGTTTTCTGGCCAAAGTAACACTGTCTGTCTTGTGGACTCTGACTCACAAGATGAACCTTAGCGCTCCTTGTTGGCTGCATCGGATCCATCGGCCGATAGAATTTTTATACTGAGTCATTTGATCACATCTAAGAACATGCCACAGGCTCTGAAGTCATTGTAACTTATTCGAAATTGTTTTGAGCCGTGCCAAAATAACCACAGTCTTCTAACCAGGTAGGAGATTGTTCCATATGTAGAGGTGGTTTTGGCGAGAATTTTTAGGCATTCACTGAATCCATCATAAATGGAGTAAACTAGTTCACCTACGGGCGGCTTTCTCGGACATCTCAGATGTATTGTTTTTTTTTTTAAGTTACAGACAAAGGGAAATTATACTGCTGTGTGGCAGCAGTAGGCTTTTTCTTTCAGAATGCTTGTTGGATGGGCCCATGTGTCTTCTCAACCAGATGATGCTTTTTTCCAATCTGATTTCCTGAATTCTTCACTCAACTAACTCCAAATGGTGAACATTCCCACTACCAGAAGAAAATAAGCTACTGGAGATAACAGACTTTAAAAGTGTCTTCCAGATAATGTTATCACCAGCTTCCTGCAGACACAGTTACTGCATTTAGAGATTTATGGGCTTTGCTGCTTCTGAGTAAATACTAATTTTTTTTGGGGGGGGGGCGGGGGGATGGAGTTTCGCTCTGTCACCCAGGCTGGAGTGCAGTGGCACAACCTCAGCTCACTGCAAGCTCCACCTCCTGGGTTCACCCCATTCTCCTGCCTCAGCCTCCCGAGTAGCTGGGACTACAGGCACCCGCCACCATGCCTGGCTTTTTTTGTGTGTGTATTTTTAGTAGAGACAGGTTTTCACTGTGTTAGCCAGGATGGTCTCGATCTGACCTCGTGATCCGCCCGCCTCGGCCTCCCAAAGTGCTGGAATTACAGGTGTGAGCCACCGCGCCGGGCCTACTATATTTTTTTGTTTCCTACAGAATCAAGCTTTCCCTAGTTTAATCCTTTTCCCTCCCCCACAGAACCTAAAGCTACAATATTCCTTAATAAATTAAAGTGTTTCACCTCTAGAATTCTGAGCACGCATGCAGAGAGGTCAGCTCTGAACGGCTACCTAGGCTTAGACTCAGGAAACACCAGCGTTCAAAACTAGGTGTGCATGAAAGAGAGGCGGCAGGAAGTTCACTATGTCAATGGTTTTCAAAGGCCAGGAATCCTGGTTTTATCCTGTCTCTAGGAAATTCAGAGGCAGAGCCT